AACTTTTGAACTTTGCTCACTAAAAATAACCTTGGAATTTTTCTTCAATTGCTGACGAGTATCCATCAAGTCTTGTAGGAACTTCGCATATTCGGGAATTTTAGACAACGACTCAATAAAAGGAGTATTTATTGGAATACCCTTCACTTGCTTTATAAACTCCAAATGCTCCCGTTCCAGTGGATGAATATTAGCTCGGGACGGAAACGGTAAAGGAGGACGATAAGTCGGAACAGCTGCTGAATTTTTCTGTTCAGACTGGGCCCACGTCTTGAGCCTTAAAGGCTCACGTCGTGAGTTTGGTTGTTCAACAATATTTTTGTCTTCAAGCTTTATCTTCTTCGGCTTTGGTTCGGACTGCTTTGGCTCCACTTCTAATGCTTCTAGGAACTCAAAAATCACCTCTTCTTCAATTTCGATCATCATGACATGGGATTGAGTTTTTTTATCGGGGAATTGTGAAGATAATTTTTCGTTTACCAAAGTTGTTAGTTGCCCAAGTTGGCTTCGAGACTGTGGATTGATGCTTGATGATTTCTTAGTAGGGCTTGTTGGTCAATCATCATAGCTTGTTGATCTTTCATCATCTTCATTTGATCTTTCAGTATGGCATCAGTATCATCATGCCTTTTCTCAGAAGCTTCCATAAAACGAACTAGCATGTTTTATAAGTTAACCTTCTTCTCGGCTTGTGGTTGTTCCTTTTGATAGAAGCCTCGGCCAGTCTGCCTATATTTTTCTTCTTTTTGCTTCTTGTATTCATCATATGGCAGCCAATCCTTCTTTGGTTTTCTCCAATCTTCATCAAATTTATCCCCACTAGAATAGCAAACTTGAGCTCTTCTGTTCCCATTATCATCCAAGTGGCAGTCTTTGGTCAAGTGTAGACCATTGCACCTTTCACATTCAACTCTAATTGCATGAATCGATTGGTCCATCTTTGTCATTCTTCTGTCCATAGTATCAAGCATAACTAGGACGGCTGCCATTTCTTCAGAATGTCCTCCCCCAATGCCCTTAACGCCTTCGTTCCTTGGATTGTGGTACTCACCGGAATGTTTTGTGAACTCTTCAATTAACTCCTTGACTTCACCCGGATTTTTCTTTGTAAGTGGTCCTTGAGAATCAAGGAGTTGCCTCGTCATGACATTCACCCCGTCATAGAATATAGACACTTCTTGTTGTATATTGAGGTCATTTTGAGGATAATTTCTTAATAATCCTTTGTAGCGCTCCCATGCCTCATAAAGTGACTCACCCGGATTTTGCTCAAAATTGGCTATTGCCTTCTTGAGTTTCGCTATCTTGGAAGGTGGGTAGAATTGTTCTAGAAACTGCTCGCGCATTTGGGCCCAAGTAGTGATTGCACCAGGTGGTAGTGCCTTCAGCCAATCTTTTACAGCTCCTTTAAAAGTGATTGATAGCATCCTCAGCAAGACTGTCTCTCTAGGAACATTGGGGACATTGAAATAGTCTGTTATGTCATTTACTTCATCTAAATGTTTGTAAGCATCCTCATGATCCTTTCCATAAAATGGTACATCCTTAAGTGCAGTAAGGATGTGTCCCTTCAGCTCGAATGTGGCAGTTGCAGGAATTGCAGGTTGTACCAAACCAGGACCAGCATCGTCTTTTATCCGCTTTTTGTATGCTCCCATGGACATATCCGCAATGTTTGCCATCTCGTTTTTTGGCTCGTCTTCGGGTTCACTCCTTTCTAATGCAAATTCAGGCTCGGATTCGTACTTAGATTCTTGTGGGTTAGTTATCTGATCAAATCTCTCTACCTTGCTTTTGTCCTTTGATGAAGTACTTGACTCTCCCATGTTCTTCCCTTTCTTCTTCCCAAAAACTGACTTTAGATCTTTGAAAGGCGACTTCTTTGGTGTTTGGCTTACTCCTTCATTCTTATCCGTCTTCTTGTGAATGGCCGACTCTGGATCTTCAAGTGGTGGCACCAAAGGTGTGTTGGAACCTCTGGTCATGAACTACTGCAATAAAACAAAAAATAAAAACGTAAAACTGAACAAAATTAACTAAAAATTACCTACTAACTGGTCACCACGACATGGCAAAGAGTACCACCTCGTGTTGTCGCAGAAAAGTTAACAGAAAAGAAAAACGAAGAAAACAAAAAAAACTACTGAACTCACGTCGTGAGTTTAGTACTGAAACAAAAATCTAAGCTGAAAAATTAACTTTTTGCAGGTTTTACCCCACAAAAAGGATCAATTAACCCAAAGCAAATAAATTAACAACTAAAATAGTCGTTCCCAGGCAACGGTGCCAAAAACTTGATGCGAGCAAATAGTTACACCTATTTTTAAATTTATAACCTAACTAAATTGCACCTAGGCAGTGTACCTAGTCAAATTGTAGAATAGTTTAGGTAAGTCGGGTGTCGATCACAGGGAACGGTTTTAACTAATTAATTTACCTACTACTAAGTTAACCTAAATTTCTAGCAAAGTATTGGTTTTTATCTAATTTTGCAAGTTTAGATGAACTTAGTTCTTAACACAATTTAATCAATTAACAAATCACTTTTGTTAGTTCGAATCCACTTTCCCTCAATGGTTTATAAATTAATTATGACAATTCCTGTTGGTTACCAATTAGAATATTATTAACATTTCAATTCCAAATTTACTAATATCAATTAATTCATGTAGATCTATGTATGGTCACACATAATTTTAACACAAAATCAATTATTAAATAGAATTGGAGCTATGTAAGATTGAGTTGACAAACACAATTATGGTCATAATATGAGTTCTCTAGCACAGCCAAATTCAATAGTCCAATTACTCATCTAAGATTGGTTCGATCTTAGCTCTAATAATCTAATGTTCGCTAGATTACTATGTATTCAAATTCATGCAGATTAATGGTCATTAACTACACAGAATAAGACATTAAAGCAATCTAATATCAAATCAAGCATGCTAGGTGTAATCAATCAAACACAAGTCATAACCAACAAGTAAAGTCTAAGCTAATATAATAAAACCATGAGTTCCAGCTTCATCTAGCTAACAGAAGCAGCTAGATTTAGCTGGACATTCTAACATTGAAGCTAACACAATTCATAATCAAAAGCATGTTTAAAAGTACCAAACTAAGAATCAAATTATGAACTTCTTCTTCCTTGGTGTGCAACCCAATCTCCAGGCCTTCTTCCTCTCTGATTTTCGACTTCTGGAACTTCTCCAAGTCAGCTAACCTCTTCAAATCGTAGGGATCAAATCCTATTTATATTTTCTGAATTATCCGCACTCACGTCGTGAGCAAGTAAGTCTCACGTCGTGAGCTCAGTAGATATCCGTGTTCGACAAGGATTCCTGGTCTGCGATGCTTATCTTCTGGAATGTCCCAACTCACGTCGTGAGAGCGTAATTTTGCTGGATTTTTATCTTTTAAGTCTTTATCCTCCAAAGTTCCTTTCTTTAACGCTTTTAGTCCATTTTCTTCAAAATGTCTTCTATTTGGCTGTAAAATACATTTTAACCTTATAAGTATCATTATTCCATGTAAGTAACCAAAACATTAATTAAAATGTACTTAAAATATTGTCTTAAAACATGTATAAATATGACAATATCAATAAGATATAGAACTTGAATCCACCGATTAATCGCAAAAATCTTATGAATATGCACCTAAATACTTTAGTGATATCCCTGTCATACTAATTCAACAAATCCAAACAAATTTAAGAACCTAAGATCGTTAGAATCAATGAATTAAACAAGTTTTTAAGAAAATACCTCCATCGTGATGTCAAGTAAACAACAAATTACGAATTTGCAGACTCATAGCGGAAGATTACAAGACATTAGAAACATACTGATAACTGTTGATACCTCTGATGCCGTCTGATGGAGGTGGAGGCGGAAACAACACCATCTGACGCAGGCGAAGGTGACATCGTCTGCCAGAGCCGGCATCATCTGATGAAGGAAAAACGACACCAACTGCAGAAAAAATGGTGGTGAATTTTGCCAGAAATCGGAGGGCGAAGAGACCGTGCGGGGAGAGATTCGTCGGAAGGAGGCGGACGATGGAGTGGGAAGGCAGTCGTGAAAAACCTGATAGATGAGAGAGAAAGGGAGAAAGAAGACGCGTGTGTGTGTGTTTGTGAGAGAGGGTGGGTATTTTTTATGTTTTTAAATTGATTATTATGAATGATATTTTTAATTCCTAATATGCCCTTGTGATTATTTATAAAATGTCTAAGATACCATTAAAACTAATGATAATTACAATTACGCCATGATCAATATAAGATGTTCAATATTTTGATCTAACGTTCCACTTTTAGTTCTCGGGAAACTATAAGTTCTCAAATGATCCTTCCTCTCTCTCTCTCTCTCTCTCTCTCTCTCTCTCTCTATATATATATATATATATATATATATATATATATATATAATATCACCATTTTACATAAAATCATATTTACGAATAATTTAATCTAATGATAATTTTTTTCCAACCCATTAATCATAAAAATAATTTTACAAATAATAATATGATTTCATTCTTGACGTAATAACATTTAATCTCATTAAAACGTGTTTAATCTCATTAAAACGTGTGTTCGAATACGTTGGAGTGTAACCCCAAGAGAACCATATACCAATCCTCCTTTTGCCAAAGATTAACTCTCATATGTACGCAATTTAACTGAAGTCTCTACACTATAACATCAATCTTGATTGGGACAAGATTATTCCATCTCGTAAAGTCATCTCCTACCAACAAAGTGGAGTTATCCATTAAAGATTGACAACAACCTAATAAAGACAGGTTTCCATACATAAAACTATCTTATCATACCGATGAATATCGGCTTAAATCATTATTAAACATTCCTTGCTATAATATAATTGCATTGGTCTTAAGTAACAACTGAATATCAAAAGTATATTAATAGCTTATTAACCAGACGACTTTCTGTACCAAAATCAATATCATCCATAAATACAACAAACAATGAACACATACATAACGTACAGCTGAAGACAAAAAATAATAACAAAGTGAATTAATAAAAAAAAATTACAAAAAATGGGGAAAATACAACCGAAAAACAACTAAACATTGTTGTTTTTCATAAAATTAACCCCCATCCCCATCAAATAATAAAATTATACAAAGCCTTATGAAATGAACTCGGCAACCAGCAAAAGCTCTAAGGATTTTTACAAGAGAGTTGGTTTCTTCTATTATTCACTCTTCTTTTCTCTGAAGTCAACAGCTCTCGTGGTCAAAAAGTCAAAATACAAAATCCCAAATTCAATTTTGTGTAACAACCACCACACATTTAGCCACTCACACTTTGCTTATGTGGGACCTACAAAAAAAAGATTAAAAGATATTATTGATAGTGAGAGTAAAGTATGTTGCTATTATGAGGAAGAACATACCTATGGAATCATTTTCCTGACACAATCCTGTAGTTGAGAACAAGATCCTCAGACTTTTTCCATATGTAAGTTCGAACAGTGGCTAAGCTCATTTCAGGTGCTAACACCTGGCATACAAGAGAATCAGTTTTTAACTTTTTTTTTCTTATTAAGACATTGTAGTTCAAATTCTACCCAATTAAATAAAAGAGTAAATTACATGAATGGTCCCTATGGTTTGAGGTAATTTTCACGTTTGGTCCCTAACTTATTTTTTTCACTCGGAAGATCCCTACTGTTTGTTTTGCTGCGCGCTTGGTCCCTGACTTACCTAAAAATACTATTTTGCCCTTGATTTTTTAATTTACTTAAATAAACACACTCCCAACCCCACTTCTACCTCACCTTACCTTACCTTACCTTACCTTACCTTACCTTACCTATCTCACCTTATTTAAATAAATAAAAAAATCAAGGGCAAAATAGTCTTTTTAGGTAAGACAGGGACCAAGCGCGCAGCAAAACAAACAGTAGGGATCTTCCGAGTGAAAAAAATAAGTTAGGGACCAAACGTGCAAATTACCCCAAACCATAGGGACCATTCATGTAATTTACTCTAAATAAAATAATCATTATGAATAAACTCATGAACATACCTGATTATTGCACAAGATCTCTATAGAAGGCTTAAGCTTCCATGGCTTCAATCCAGGAGCAAAAGCTCCATCACTAATCAAAGTATCTGATGATTTGTCTAGAACCATCTTCTCCACAACATAATTAACAACCTTCAAAAAAAAAAAAATTAAAAACTCATATTAAGGTGATTGTAGTAATAATTATATCACACCTTATGCATTCTTAAAATCCGAGGTGCACTCAGCTTCCCTTGTGTCAAGATCTGAGCAGCTGAACCTTCAAATGGATGTAAATAAAAACTACATCTGAAAACACAAAGAAACTTGAATGAGCATCTTAACTTTTTAAATACTATAATATTTAAAATGTATCAGATAAAAAGCAACAATTTACTTGGTATGTTCTCTTGGGGGCATCCGATTAAGCAAAACAGCATCTAAAACCCAACGAGGGAAATCATCATCTTCAATTCCATCAAGATCAGTAATTTTCTTCCTCCATATTCCATTTTGAGAACTTTCAGTAATAATTGAAGGAGGAGAAGCAATTGAGAATTGAAATGGAGGGTAAACTCTGGAATCACTTTGAACATTAGCATCTGCTTCGGGTCTTGAAAGTGGAATATTTTTGGAAGATATATCTTTGCTTGGAGCTTCTCCATTGACTGAAGGTTGAGACACGAATCTAACTTTTTTCTTAGAAAAATAAGGAGCCAATAGTCCTTTCAGGGTTTCTCGACCTAAATTAATCTGCAAAGATCAAAGAGATTGTAATTTGTATTTTGTAAGTCATCAATAATGATGTTTTTCATTACTTAATTCAAATCCAATATATGCACCTTGTCATCTTCAGCTTTCTGAGTGATGCTGAGGTCAGCAGCATACATTTCTGCAGAAAAACACTGGGGAGTATCTAAATGAATAGACAAGCTTCCAAGCCTAGTATCTGCAGTGAACCATGGAGGAATGCTGACCTGGAAAATAATATATAAAATCAAAATGGGAACAGATGAAGATTATATATATAATTATATACATTGTTTTTTTTATAAAGATCTATATTCATACATACCATCTCAAATAGTTCTTCCTTTTTCTCTTCAAATGAAACCTGTCCATAGTCTTCAATCACAACACCTTTAGTGATTTCCCAAAGCTTCACAGATCCACCATTATCCTATCAAATTGACACTTCACACCTTCAGTTTCAAGTTCTTCAAGAAAAAAAAAAGACAAAATAGGAGACGAAATTCGAAAAGTGTTCTTTTTTTTTTTAAATGTAAAAAAGATTAATATTTTACCTTGGTGAGGACATGTCTTCTATTGTTCAATATTTCATGTTGCATTATCCCTGGGATTCCATCAATAGTTAAGGTGGGAGATTTATACACAGGAACCTAGAAATGAATTACATGAGTTAGATTATATAAAGAGGCATGACTCAACATAAACATGAAAAAGATAACTCACAGGGGTAGATCCTTCTAAAGAAGCTCTTGCCCTTGAAAAAGACAAATTTCCAGCAAGAAAAGAACCACCTCTTTGAAACAATTTTTCAGGATTCAAGTGTTCAGAAGGCCATCTGTCAACAGAGGAATCTGTTGTTGCAACCCAAATTCCATCATCGTCTAATGCTAATTGCTGAATAGGATGTTCCTTTGTGCATAGCAATAAGCTATCTCTTGTAGAAAGATCTGTCAAGTATAACTACAAGTAGAAACAAATAATATTATTATTATTAAATGATTGATAATTATTATTATAATAAGTTAATAACATATGCACTCATAAAGAAATAGAAATAGACTCACAGAAAGATCTCTTCCACCACTATACACATGACTGAATGTTGGAGTAGTAGCAAGTGCCCATACAGAGTCTGTATGAACAGCATATGAATGCACACATCTCTGTTGCCCAAGATCCCATAATCTACCACAAATATATATATACACCCATCAGTTTCATCATTTAAAAAAAAAAAAAAAATTTATTTTTTTCATGAAACAGCTTACCTGATCATAGAATCAGAGGATCCTGATAAGCAAAACCTGCAATCATGAAATTGAAGTTCTATTACACACTCAGTTTAACAACATAGAAGAGTAAACCTTCTTAAAGAATTGTTAAAATATACAAAAGTTTCAAAGTTGTTTATAAAACGAAATTAGGAAATAAGATTGAGTTGTAAATTGGAGATAGAATTTTTCATTTTAGGAAAATGATAAAAAAAAAAAGAGAAAACAAAGTAACAAACCTTCCTGTAGAATCAATAAGCAAAGCCCTAATATTATCTGTATGCCCACGAAGTTTCATCATCTTTGAACCACTTCTTGAGTCCCAAACACGTACAACCTAAAAAAAAAATTACAAATCAAGAAACATGAGGACTTCATTTACTATGTTAGGATAATTAGTAAAAGAGTAAATTACACGAATGGTCCCTATGGTTTAGGGTAATTTGCACGTTTGGTCGCTAACTTATTTTTTTTACTCGGAAGGTCCCTAGAGTTTGTTTTTTTACGTGTTTGGTCCCTGTCTTACCTAAAAAGACTATTTTGCCCTTGATTTTTTAATTTATTTAAAGAAACACATCCCCAACACCACCCCCTCTCACCATACCTTACCTACCCTACCATTTTCCCTATTTAAATAATAGTCTTTTTAGTTAAGACAGGGACCAAACACGTAACAAAAACAAACAGTAGGGACCAAATACATAACAAAAACAAACAGCAGGGACCTTCCGAGTTAAAAAAATAAGTTAGGGACCAAATGCGCAAATTACCCCAAACCATAGGGACCATTCGTGTAATTTACTCTTAGTAAAAACATTCATGATGTATCAGAACAAAGTCTATTCAATTATAGCAATGTCATCCAAATACAAAAGCAATTTTCATTTTCACTGATAAAATTGAGTAACATTTTTGAAATAATGAGGTGGAATTTTCAAATGTTTTGGAAAGAAAAATGTACCTTCTCAGTGCCACCAGACACCAGAAGAGTTCCAGTATCATTCATTGCTAATGCATAAACAGACTCTTTATGTCCTTTAGCAGAAATGGGAACATATCCTTGAGGTGTATTTGTGAGTGATGTAATACCATTGCTTGAGCTTACAGCACGTAGACTTGAATTTCCGTTTGAAGAATCAGTGACAGCTGGCGTCTCAGTATTCTTAATGACTGGAGTAACTGCAGCTTCAAGATCCCAAATGAACACCTCACCACCCAATCCACCAGATGCAACAATATTGCTCTATAAGAAAGGTATGTTTGATCTTGTAAAAGTATGATTAGGTATTTATATATTGAGTTATTCTAAAGAGGTGACAAATTTTCAAGGTCTGAATGAACTTGAAATAAGAATGGAAAGACATATTTACATTTTTTTCTGAGGAAGCAAGACAAGTAACATAATCTGTGTGTTGGTGGAGAGTTCTTTTGCAAGTTCCATCAGAAAAGCTATCCCAAATCTGGTATAACACAGTATAGTATTATTATTACAAATCATAAGAATATTAATGAAGGAATTTTATAAAATTAGTTACATATGAAGAAAAACCTTGACTGTAGTATCTGAAGAGCAGGAGACAAGGGTATTCCCTCCTACAAGGACTGCATCATTGACCTGTACAAAAACCAACTCTTTTTTTAAGGAAGTAATAGACTCACTAACATTTATTTAGTTATAGCACTGTTTTCACTTTTCACACAATATGTAGGCTAAAAATAGTGCAAAACTGATTTTGATATCTTTAATATTATGTTATTGAAATGTAAGCACCAAAAAAAAACTGATGCAAAACTCATTGATCTCCAAGACCCAAAGTAAATAATTCATCATGTTACAATAATGACTTGGAATCATCTCTCAAAAGATAAAGATTAATGGTAAATAATACCAGTTATTTAGATTAGAAATATACCCAATCAACATGAGACTCAAAAGTAGATGAACAAGTGGCATCCTCTTCCCCTAATTCCCATCTTTTCAATTTGCCATCACGGCTTCCAGTGAAGAGGAAATTATGATTATTTGCTTCTGAATGCTTTAAGACAGCCAAACAGTTCACACCTGCACAATGCTGCAAACAGAAAGGCTCAGAAAAAAAAAATTGAGTGAATTCCAGGGTAACTTGAATTTTACATCTTAAAATCTACTAATTTTTTTTATGTTTTTACTAAAGTATGTGCTTATGTTAATGATCATTTGGATGCTTTCTGAAGTTAGAACCGTATAAAAAGTAATACAAGAATGCAAAGAATATTTTTCAAATGAGGTTTCAAAGCTTATGACCACCTTTTAAATCTTGCAATAATCAGCTTTGTGCCTATATGCCAACCAAAGGATGTGAAAACATACATTTGTAATAAGTGGCACAACTTGTAATTATATGTAAATCTTTTCTAATGTACAAGTACACCAACACATACTAGGAGCATTACAAATCTATGAAGGAAAAGATATATATATATATACACATGGAAGAAATAGTGTAAAAACAAAACAAAGTCTGACCTTTGTGTTGTCAGCATCATTTAAAACATAAGTCAATCTTTTCTCCTTACGAGGACGGGATGAATTTGAGGTATTTCCTGCACTGGCCACACGGTGCATTGCAAAATTACCTAAAGACCAAATTTAAGAAATTTAAGTCAGAATGTGAAAGTAATTTGTTAGGGTTTACAATTAACTATATCAATCAAAAACAGACTTCATCATCAAGAAGCACATAATCTTCAGTCTTCACCCTTTTGATGAACAGGGAATAAGACAATAACAGATATGACAAGCCACAATTTTAAGAAGAAAAAAGTTTTCATAACATCAAGTCAAACCCTTAAATTTAATCATCCAAAACTCAATCTAACAATGGCATAGATTGGTGACAGAAATGGAACAAAATAGAAACAAAAACTATCGGATCCTTCAAATTTTAACTTCAGTTTCTCCAAATGAAGTAAGAAAATCCATCAAACAGTAATTCGTCTGCAGCAAACTAGGTCAAACTGTGTGAATTACAAGCTGAAAGCAGCGAAGTTTCAGAAGGTAATTATATAAGTAATATAGAATCAACATTTTTGATGTAGGTGTAGCAGTATAAGTGTATGATAAATATGGCCAATTGGCCATTCATGAAGGAACTCACGCTCCTAACACAATGTCATCTTAAAGTTCTGTTGTGTTATTCAGGCTTCAAACTGCATCCTAGTACTGTTACTTACAGTAAAAAACCCTAAGCAACACCTAATAGGCTAATACCTATACCAAAATTCCAAAAAAGAATCAAAGTTTTGATAACCACAAGTCAAACTCCCGTTTAATTTAATCATCGAAAACTCAATCTTAATAATAGGATAGAGAGATTTAGTGGTGCTTACAAAGAGATAGGCCAGAAGTGAAGCAAAATAAACACACACAAAAACTTGTCTGATCCTTGAAATTTTAACCTCAGTTTCTCCGAATGAAGTAGATTTTTACATACAAGCGATGATTCGTATGCATCAATCTGCGTCAAACGGTGCGAATATCAAGCTGAAGCCAGTGAATTCAAGCTGATTTCAGACGATAACGATATGAACAATAAAGAATTAAAAATTTTGGATGTACGTGTAGGAGTATTTGTGTTTATGCACTTGGAGTTGATGCGTAAGTGGAGGAAAGAGGGAAGGAGGTTAGGGACGAAGAAAGCAGTAGAATGCTGACTTTCGATGAGCTCTCGTCTGCTTTGACTTGGTTTTTCTTTATCTTTTATTCCCAACACAAATATTCTATAGAAGAGAGAATGAAATTTGTCTGTTAACGTAATAAATTACAAATTTAGTTATTTTTAGAATCGGAAGATTATTGCCATCACAATTTTTTCGGAAAATCAATGAATATTACTTCCATAATATTATAACAAGAAACAATTATATTGTGTGAAAGAGAGATACAACTAACAAAACTAAGAAAATATCCCTATTGAAAACATAGATATATTTGATTAGTATGTACTTAGACTAGGAAGCAACCAACCTAATTAATTCATTGCAAAGTTGATATCCCTTGTTATATTTACACCCAAGCATATGTAGCCTGGAACAATATACTGTATAAATCTTTTGATACACTGTTATTGGCATCCATTAGAAATTGGCACTTAAAAAAGATTACTTATACATACTCATTTGTTTTGTATATGAAAATTATCAAAATGGGTTTCAGCAATGGAGGAACAAAGACAAAGAAATATACTACTTGTGGAAGAATAAACAACACACAAATATCCTAATTTTACCTTTTCAGGACATCATTCTGGAATGCCCTTACATTCCGGAGAACAGTCCGGAATACACTTTTTCAATCGAGAATATACGGGTGTCAAATTCTGAAACTGATACCTACCAGCCATCACCAACTCTGGAATAAACATAATATTATGTAATATCGTATTCCAAAGTAAGTTGTCATTTTACAAATTTTATAAAAAAATGATTATTATTATTAAATTATTTATTTATATGATTATATTGCTCAATTTTCTTTTTCTTTATTCCTTCCTAGAACGTCATTGCTAATCAAGTAATTGATTTAGTATTTTATTATTTGCACTTTCCATCGTTAATTCTTTTAATGGACGTGCACTCCTTCCAAGATGGTATATGTGTTCAATTCACATTAATACTAAAATGGACGAGTTCATTTTTTGCCACATGGATAATTATCAAATAGACATTTTAATTTTTATTGTTTGTTATTCAATTTTGTAATACACACTTCACCACATGAATGATTTTTTATAATTTTGGCTATAAATACGGATTCCTTAATTGCTTTATTAAAGTATAATTTTTTGTTATCACTAAGCATATAAATATATTTTATTGTTTATAGATGTAAATGAACCGGACGAAAATGGCTAGTTTATGTTCATCTGTTTTAGTCAGCCAAACAAACAAAAGAACACGAACGGATAAACAAACGAGTTTTCTTGTTCATGTTCGTTCGTTTAACAAATTAGTGAATTACCTTGTTAATTTATGTTCATAAACGAACAAAGATAAACAAACACTAATGAACATATATGAACATAAACGAACATATAATATAGTAATGTAATAAAAAATAATTAAACATATATGAACATAAATAAACTTAAATGAACATTCACGAACATAGATGAATGAACGAGACCATTGTTCACGTTCGTTCGTTTAACTAAACGAACAAAAATTTGTGCTTATGTCCGGTCATTTATTAAATAAACGAACTTTCCGTCAAAAGGTTCGTTGAACGTTCAGTGCGTTTATAGTGGTTAGCAATATAATGTAGCAAATAAAATTTTGTTTATTTGCCTTAGACGCAAGTATTATTTTTGTTGATAGGGATACTTCTAAAAGAATAAACAAAAAAACTCTTTTGGAAACAATGGAGCATATCATATTTTAGATAGATCATGATAAATTAGTTAAAATATATGAAAAAAAATTATTAGAAAATAGTAACTATTGAAAATGTTATTGAATTAAAAGTTAAAGTTAATGAATTAGTGAAATATAAATAATTTTGAATCACCACATAAATGGACCATTAGAGTTGCTCTAACAACAATTTCAAATTAAAATCTAGAACTTAATTGGTATTGATGTTTATAATTATATTATGTACCTAGTTAAAATCGAACAAAAATAAAATATTGATATATATCTATATTAATTTGCAAAGTTGGTGTCGATCATAGAGATTACTATTCATTTGGTTTTATTGTTTCCAGACTACAAATGGTTAAGATGGTGTTTGGGATTTCATTTAAAAATAATTTATTGATTTATTGGCTGTTTGAAAAGTCAATAAGTAAAAAAAAAGTTTGGTGATATGAAATGACTTTTAAAATAACTTTTCATCAACATTATATATATATATATATATATATATATATATATATATATATTCTCTTTCAAAAAAACATTTTAAAAAAATATTTCAATAAGTTAAGATTTTTAAATTTTCAAAATTTCTTATAACTTTTTGGGTTGTAAAAGTTAAAATACTTCTAAAATATGTATAAGTTAAAGACAAATATTTTTTAAAAAACAACTTATTGATTTTTCCTATCATAAAAATTAATCCAAACATTAAAAAAAAAAAAGAAAAAAAAAAAAAAAAAAAAAAAAAGGACCTTTCTCTTACAAGTTATAACCATAACTCATTTTGCTTAAAAGTCGTTTTAAGATTCAAAATGAAATCTCAAACACCTTTAATTCTGGTCACATTACAACTTTTACTCCATATAATACAAGATGAAGCAAAATAAACATGTCCATGGAAATAACTTTTTTGCCTCTAATCATAACAGATTTTCATATTTACACCTTTTATTCTAAAGAAATTTGGATTGAATAGTTTTCTTCATAATTTTTTAAGTTAAATTATTAGTATTTTATAAGTTAAAATTTTGACCCCTTACAATATTTTTAAGTTATGTTTTTTGTTTCTTGCATAATTTTTTTTATAGTTTTTGCTTTTATTAATTGCAAAGAAATTCTCAGCACAATGTAAATAATGACTTAAATAAATACAAGTTATAATCAATTATGATTGTTTTAACTTTTAAGGTTCAATCGTTAGCTATACACTTTCATCATTTACCACCTATACATATTATTTTTTACAAAATTAACTACCATTTTCAATAGGAAAAATGACATTTTAGCATATTAATGTTTCGTCATTTGTCCGATTTGGTCACTAAAGTAAATTTCTTGCGCATTAGACCACAAAACTCGTATTTAACCTGTCAATTAAGCCATTTTTGTCAAAATTAACCGGTTACTAGGTCACAAAGCTGATGTGGCATTTAATAATTAATTTATGTTTATTATTTGGTAGCCACGTCATTAATCCACCGGTCTCCATCGGTCCTTCTCGTTTACCCTATCTCCATCTCTCTTTTGCTTTCCCTAACTTCAAAATCTCATTTCCCATGATCTCTTCTCTGTATGCTCTGTGAACAAGTTCTTTGATAGCCTAAGCTCGAACAGTTTCTTACACTCGCCAAGTGTTCAAGGAATTTCCCCGGAGAGATTGTTTCTTTGAAGCTTCAGAACATTCAAGCCAATTAGATTTCCAATCTCTTCTGGCATCACACCGGAAAACCTGGTCAACCTCGCTAATTTCGAAGGAATAAACCTGGAGAAACTGTTATTATTCAATTCGAACAACAACAAATCGGACACCACAAGAGGCGAAATCGAACCCGAGAATCGATTGTGAGAAATATTAACAATGGTGAGATTCTTCAAGAGAGAGATTGCTTCGGGAAAAGGACCTTCGAAAAAATTATTATAAAGACTAAGAAGCGAAAGCTTAGAAAGATACCTAAATGTATTTGAAAGTGATCCTGAAAGCTTGTTATCACACAACGATAAAGTTTGAAGCTTTCTGCAGTAACCCAAACTCAATGGAACCCGACCCGATAAATCTTTTTGCCTCAACTGAAGAAAAAACATATTCTTGAGCTTCCCAATTATAACCGAAATCTGACCCGTGAAATGATTCCTGAAAAAATCAATTCATTTAACATCGAGCAATTCGTTAACTCGATTGGAATGTTTCCCGAAATCTGATTATCGTAAAGATAAAATACACTTAGCTTCTCTAATTTCCCTATTTCAATCGGAATTTCACCTGTAATCATGTTCTCAAATAGATAAAGATTCACCAAATTACTCAAGTTTCCAATTTCAGAAGGTAAACTACCGAAAAAACTATTATTGTTGAGTAAAAGATCAATGAGGTTCTTTAGATAGTGAATCCCAAATAGTATTTCGCTTCCAAAGTTATTACCAGAAATGCCCACCACTTCGATTGAAGAACAGATTAGCACCAGAAAATGGAAATCGCCGGAAAGACGGTTGCTGGAGATAAACAAATGGCCTAAATTTGAGTCCCTCGAGCAAAGTTTCTCCGGGAACCCACCGGTGAAAGAATTGCTAGACAAAACTAAAGCTTCAAGGTTACCATTTTCAAAATTGAAATGGGTAATGTTTCCTAAAAGATTGTTACTTGAAAGATCAAGATTCTGGAGCTCCAGAAGCCGGAGTAGCTCCGGTGGGATTTCGTCGGTCAACCGGTTTCCATGAAAGTTCAAGTATTTCAAGGTGGAAAGGTTAGATAAATCAGGAATGTAGCCTGAGAGGGTGTAGTTTGCTAAATTCAAGATTTCAAGGGACTGAAGTTGTCCAATTCAAGAAGTAATTCGCTTCCAGTAAATGATGTGGCTACCAAATAATAAACATAAATTAATTATTAAATGTCACGTCAGCTTTGTGACCTGGTAACCTGTTAATTTTGACAAAAATGATTTAATCGACAGGTAAAATACGAGTTTAGTGGTCTAATGCGCAAGAAAATTACTTTAGTGACCAAATCGAAAAAATGACAAACCTTTAATGTGCTACAATGTCATTTTTTTTTTTCAATAACTTACCAACTTTCACCTTCTTACAATTTTATGCAAGTTTTATGTAAATTTGTAAAAATATAAGCTTGCTACATCAAATAATTTATATATGAAAAATTGTATGTTACTTGAATTTTGAAGATTTAGTAAAAATATCTTACTTATTTCGTACATTTACCATTAAAAAATATTGAATCAAACCCTAACATTAGATGGTCTGGACTCTGGATGCTGTGTTTCAAGCCGAAGGTCATAAAAAAATAAAATTTTAAGAAAACAAAACACAAAACACCAAGTACAATTCGACAACATTTTACAAGAGTAATTCATCTCAACATAACATCGTGTCAAAAAATTAAGTACTCGCCATGAAACATAAAAAATAATAATAAATAACAAATAGCTAGGATTTTGCTACTCTCATAAATGATCATGGTTATCTGTTATCTATTATCTATCAGTTTCCCGTAACTATTATACTCATCTTCTTTGCAACACAAAGGTCGGTTTAATTTTCCGCAACTATAACTTACCACCACCAACCCATCTCTATACACCACCACCACCACATCTTCCATTTACTTACTGCCAAATATTAAAAAATAAAAATAAAAATTAGTATACTTTTTAATCCCATTGTCGCAACATTACTTTATTTTTTACTGAAAATAGTCTCTACTTACATTTTGCTATTATTGACTAAGAAATGCAAGTGTGTTGCTTTATGGCTAAGGAATTGTGTAAGTAAGTTGTAAATATGGTTTACGTAAAAAAATCTAAGCAAGGTGTTTGTTTATCCAAAGTTGGAGGTTTTCACAAAAAAATAAATAAATAATCTAAAATCAAAAATGGTACCTTTTGAGAAACTTAAATTTTGTATTCTTCAACATGCATCCATTTTGTTGATGACCATTTATGTCCTTTTATCACAGGACAACCACCTGAAAATACAGAATACATGACCTCAATCGTATCAAAAATGAATATGTATGTAAATAGAAAACATACATATTTACATACCATGCAAACTAGTGGGATCCAACGTGGCATCAGGCCTCATGCTCCAAAAAAGCAATGCATCACCCATTTTTGGTTTCACATGCACACCCTTTTTAGCACATTCAGATAAATTATTCCACTCAGGGTGTGAGCTGAAATTTCCCTGTGCAACTGGGAAAACCGTTTCTCCCCCTTCCTCCACATCTGACCTAAAATCATATCATATCATATCATATCATCAGATAAATGAGTATAAGTATTTACTTATATTAGGGTTTAGGGTTTTAGGGTAAAATACAGACAGATTTCAATAAAAATGGAGGATACTCACAGATACATAAGAACTGTAGCTATTCTTTGGCCACCGTTTTTAGTGTTGAATTCATCAAGAAAGTAGTCAAAGTGAGGCTCATACTTTTGTCCTTCTTCATAATGAAGAACTTGTAGCCCTTCTCCATGCTCTGTTAATTAAAAAAATACCAAATTAAAAAAAAAATGGTACTTGTGCTTTTTAGTCCAATACTGAAACTTTGTTTTTTTTTTCAAATTTGGTCCTTATTACATGTTTTCATATCAATTTTGGTCCCTGGGACTTTCTGAATTTAATCCTTATTTCAAGGTTTCATATCGATTTTGCTCCAAGAACAAAAATCAACATGAATGCAAGTGTGGAGTAAACATGGTAATAATCAGAAAACACAGGGACCATTTTTGTAATTTACTCTTGAGAACAATATTTGTCTGTAATGTATGATCCACAGAAAACAGAAGGCATTAGAGTTTAGAGTGTAACCAAGCATAAAAAGTACATAAAAAAGATTCATAAATCATACCTACAGGGATAAATGTGAAGTCTGCTATTCTTTGTTCAATGTTTCTTATAATTTTATCTCTTCCCCTTCTCAAAAATGTTCCTGAGCTTGTACGTACCCTAAAAAATGGAAGTTCAAGAAAAATCTGATTGCATTCATTTCATATGATATGATTCAACTGAAATATAAGTAAAAAGATTAAAAAGTGTCAGAACACAGAACAAACCTGCTATCTTTGCTTTGACCAGTCTTACTATCAACAACTGTTGACTTTGCCATGTGAGGCTTGGCAAGATTTATCAAATACTCACACTCTTCCTTTGACTATTTCATAACACAACATCAGAGTCAATACTCAATAGTCAATACTTCAGCATTGATTATATGTTATGTTCCTTTTTGACATGATGCATTAAGTGCAACATAATAGAGAAAGTAATGGATAATTAGGTATGATATAGAAGCTAAAAACCATATAAATATCTAGGAAAGAAGAAAGGCTACTCACCAAGAAATTGTGATAAACAAAGGCTCTAGGCTCCCAAGAGAGAATCTCAGTCCACTGATCTCCTCTCTTTCCCATCTCATCACCATCACCACTGCATTGCACATCAATCAAGTTCAAGTGTATTTCATAACTGAGAAACTAATAGTGATAAGCAAGGTTGTTTATAATTATATTATATTCACATAAACATAACAAAATGAGATGCAATTAAAATGCTAAATATACAGTTCCTCTGTTTTGGGCTACCTACCACGCTTCTGATCAATGTCTGACCTTTTCTCATTGCAATCTTAAAAAGCCACAAAATTTGTGTCTTATAATGGCTACTGTATACAACCGTTGTTCTACAGAAGATATGCACCTTGAATCTAGATGTCAGACCCAGTACATTTCAAAGTTCAAAGTAGAAGGACTTTCCTATAGATTTAATAACGGATTTCCGTTAAAAGACCTAAATTTTATGCCATAGATTGAAACAGATTAACAAGTTTATAATGTTCGCCTGATTCAACCCCTATGGCCGCACAGATCGTCCCTGAAAACTATCTAAGTTGAATTTAGGGACAAAATCACCCAAAAATCGAACCACGATCACATCTCAGAAAAGTAACCAATTAAACGTAAATTCAGGAGAAAATGAGAAGAAAACTACATACATAAGAAATCGTTTCCGTTTGAAGATGATGTGATCTCGAAGGTAAGAAGAAGAACCGTCGTCGGAACCGATCGGGAGTGAAAAGATCCCTAGAGCAAGAAGTACCAGTAAAACTATTGTCAGCATTAAAAGCATTGATAGAACTAACGCCACCGTCGACGATCTCTTCCCGTGGTGATGTCGACCCAAATAGTTTCTTCCCTTCCGCATTGTTGCAAAGATTTCGGGATGGAAAGAAACCCTAATTCGAAGGGTTTTCAGCTGAATTTTCGTTCGTTGGTTTTCTGGAATCGAAAAATGGAAGTCTTGATGACTTGTTTGGGTTTGTATACTTTATATACATGTGTTGAGGAAGAAGGAACTAACGGAAGGCGGCACGGTCCACGGACATCGTTTGTGAAATGACAGATTTGTCCTTATCCTCCTTACTAGTGAATATATAAGACTCTTGAGATAATCTTTAATCTTCACATTTAAAACATTTGAAGCAAACCTCAATGTCCGATAAACATTTCAGTTCATTTAAAAGTAAAGAGAAAATACCGATAATAGTCAAAAAAATAAAATAAAATAATATGAGATATTTTCAAAATTTAGACATGAAAATAGACATTTCCGGATATAGACATGCATTCCGCGGAGGTAGCTCCGCGGAGCTCCGCGGAATCTACTGTAGCTCCGCGGAATCTACTGTAGCTCCGCGGAATGGCAAAATCGTAAATAAATTAGTGTATTAAAAAAAAAACTCAAAATCCATTCCGCGGAGCTACAATGGATTCCGCGGAGCTCCGCGGAGATAGCTCCGAAGAATGGATCTTCAGTTAAAAAAAAGAATTCTCCAATGATTCTTTTATGTAATGATCTCTAATTAAAAGACCAATTTTTTTCCACCTCACTTTCATTAAAATAATTAGTTGCGGAATGAATATAAACCCCGAAGAATCGATTTGAAAAAAAAAAAAAAAAAAACTAAAGATCCATTCATCGGAGCTACCTCCGCGGAGCTCCGCGGAATGGATCTTGAGTTTTTTTTTTAAATACAATAATTTATTTACGATTTTGTCATTCCACGGAGCTACCTCTGCGGAATACATGTCTATACCCGGAAATGTCCATTTTCATGTCTAAATTTTGAAAATACCCTCCATTTTTTGACTATTGTCGGTATTTTCTCAAAAGTAAATGATATCAATACCATTTAAAAAATTAGGGATTTAATATAGGCTCAAATATTTTAAATAGCAATATATTTAAATTTTTATTTATTTTATGATTAAAATACTTTGAAACTTGTTAAGGCAAAATAGTTAATATAAGTAAGTTCACCACTAAACCGTGATATAATACAATAATCAAAGGTCACATTCTATCAAAATTAATGTAGTTTGAAAAAAAATATTGAAAGATTTTTTTTATTTAACTATTAATACTTTGTTTTTGTTTTTTTAAACGACTATATAAATTTTTTCTATAAATTCCACTATAGATTGAAATTTGTTTCGGTTGAACCACTGTGATTTAACCATTAATATTTTCAATTTAGAGAAAAAAACAATTTTACTCAAAAAAAATATTCTTCCAATAGGTTTTTACAATTTATTACTGAAAAATCCTTAGGTCATTTTTTGAAAAGAAAAAAAAAATTCAATGGTTAACCCAGAAAAAAAAATCCCATGGGTAAACTAAAAAAATTCTAATAATTGTTTTATGCAATTTTATAATAAAAAAATTATCGGTGAAACAAAATTAACATATATTTACAAGTACGTTGTTATCCTCTAAAACCCCGTTTTGAATATATATTGGTAAACAAAAAATTGGTTCCTATGGGCTTGTTTTTGTCAGAGTTGCCGTGGGTTTTGCTGTTTTGCAGCGTTAGCCACCGTATTGACGTATTCGAATATTGACTTTTGTATATAAGTTTTTTTTTTATTTTCTTTTAATTTGTGTTTATTTTTCCTTTATTTTTTTAATTTAGTTATTTTATCGCAGATTAATAGTTTTTTTTTTTTTATCATAAAGTTTATGACCAAGTTCCTTCCCTAATTTCAAGCAGTGTAGCTTAACGTTATGTCCCCAATACAACATTTTTACATTGAAACCTCATATTTTTAGATCAATTAAAAATGATTTCATTTTGTAGATTATTCACATAACCTTTTTTCTATAACTAAATTAATGTTTCAGTTTTGCTTTGTAAAATGATGTAGGACTCTATTTTTAGAAGCTTTCTACTATTACTTGATATTTAACATGTATATCATATATCATGTTCTAAGAAACAAACACCCACTAAAAAGTGTTTGGTTTAAAAAGTATTTGGGTTAATGGTTTCAACGAAATCCAATGGAACTGGACTAAGTTTTCATAGCATGACATGTTTGTTTGTCAAATGAACGTAAGTCAACTTGTTAGATTCATTCATATAATCATATTCCATATTTGATGAATTTATTAATTCCTAAGGGAGCTGGAAAGGAATTCAATTACATTGTTTATTTCTTTCAACTAAAGACCCTCACGATAAATATACTAAAAGTATAAGAAATTAATTACAAGTTGAAACTCATACACATACTCTAATCTCTTAACCAATATAGACTAACCATTTTATTCATTTACCCATAATAACAACTTTTTTTTTACTGATTACAAGTTTCACATTACATATTTTGCTATTACCAGTGAATAAATGTAAGCATGTTACTATTACGGGTAAAGAAATGTAAGTATGCTTCTATTATATTTATGGGTAAAGAAATGTAAGTATGCTTCTATTATATTTATGGGTAAAGAAACGTAAACACAACACACTGCTATTATACTTACAAAAATAAAGTACAATTTTATTGCATTTATTGGTAAAAGAAATGTAAGAACATTATTATTATAGGTAAAAAAATGTATAAATACGTTTTGCTATTATATGTAAAAAAACAAAGTACATGTTACAAGTTTCAGGTTATCAGTAAGGAAATGCAAGCATGATAATTCTTGCAATTTCTTTATTTCATATTTGCTTGTTCTGAATCCATTCCACAAAACAAAACTCACCAAAACTAAGAAAGCTAAACATCTAATACACTATTCATACAAGAATTTAGAATTTAAAATCTTTACCTATTTTATCTGCGTTCATGATCCGCTTTTTCCTTAGCAATCTGTGCCTTTTGCTTTTCAACAAGTTTATCAAGAGCAGCTTGAACAGCATCATGTCCACCAATAAGCAACCGAGTAATAACTTCTGGATCCTTCTCGAATCGAGCTTCTTCAAATTCCTTTCGTGCATTTGCTCTAAGAACATCACGCCACATAACTCCATGTGAATCTGACCACATAAAGAACCGAGTTGCTCGAATTATGTCCCTATAAAGACCAAGTACTTCACGTCTGGTGGTGGTAAGTCTTTGCCTGATCAATCTCTCATCTTCTTCATCATCGTTGAGATTTTTTTGTTTCTTGACTACATGTCGATCCAGTAGCTCCTCCACTGTGTCTGGGCCGTTGTTCAAGAAGAACCGGCGGTGGAGGTGGTGGAAATGGAGGTCGGAATGGATGGAGATTGCAAGATTCCGGCATTTTCTGGTGGTAGCTGCCATCTCCTCCGTAAGCTGTTTATTCAAAAAAGGATGTTGATTTTGAATCTATGCATAACGATGTGAAAATTGAACATTAATGCATTGTGCTGATGGACAAAATCGAATTAAGATGCTAAATCACGATCAAACAGAAGATTAAACAATCAAGGTAAGGTGAATCTGTTCAAGCACCTCATGGATCGCTCTCATAAAACCCTAAGTTAATATGCAAACGGGATTCCCAAAATTTAGAGGAGAGACAAACATATCGTATCAGGCAAAGCAGGGAACCCTAACTCTAGCAAATTCCCAAAACGGAAGAAATCAACGAACACTAACAAGATTCACAAAATTAAAGAAGGCGAAGAGAAAAGAACTCACCTATGGAATCGATCCGATTGTCTCCAGGAAGAAGCCGATGGCGGTTGAGTTAGGAGACACAAGTTGGAAGGCTTTGTAAAAGAATTTTTTACCTTTAACAAGATCATTTTTTTTCAGGAAAGTGTAGTGAAAAATTAGGCTAAATTTCTTAAAAATTATTTGGAATAATTTTTGGATTTAAGTTCGGCAATGATAAATGATTTTTTTAAAGTTAGAAAAAAAAATCTGAATTAAAAAGGAAAAAAAACTTTGTTTGGTATACCTATTTAAAGTTTTAGTTTAAACTTTTAAACAAAAACTTTAAATCTAAAATCTTTAAGTTTTTATTTTTATATTATTTTATATATTTTAAAAACTTATAATTATTTTTATTAAATAATTTTATATAAATAAAAACTACATCGGTTTCAACTAACAACTTTCAACTAACAGATTACAGTTACCAATTAGTTTTGTCAAACATATTTATAAGTTTTTTTTATTTAAAATAGATATTTAAAAGCTCGTACTTTTAAACGAAACTTTTCTTTGATTCAAGTTTTAAAAACTTGCTACCGAATGTATTTATCTAATAAAATATCATTACTCTAGAACCCACCACAACTATGAACTATGTGTCTATAAGATTCCTCTTAATTAAGCAAAATGAGTAGATTTATAGAAATTGAAAGAGAAGTCTTTCATAACAAAAGAAAATTATAAATTATCCGTACTAATCAATTTTTTTTGAAAGTAAAATTATGATTCAAACTTTTTTATTTATTGGACCAGTTCATAAGCATACAAGAAGTTTTAGTAATAGAATTTGTTTTAGTAAAAGACTATATAACATTGTTTTACGGTTTCTAACAACAGTTAAAAGAATGCAGTTTGTTATTCATTTACCAAAAACTTTTAAATAATTTGTATCACAAAGAATTTGATATCAACTTTTTAGTTTGATTTCAATTGAAAACTAAATATAATATATATGATTTGAATGAGTAATAACGATTCTTTATATAATTAGTTATTCGTATTCATATTTACATCTTTATTAATGTCATACTTCAATAATAGAACTAATATCATAGTTTTAGAATATAATGTCATATTTCAATAATAGAACTAATATCATAGTTTTAGAATAAAACAAAATTTATAAAGAAAAGTTACAAATGGTTCAATACATATCGATTGAAGGCAAACGGGCAACAAGCTGCGCCGCTAGCCCTTTTTGGATGGCAAAACCAATTCTTTTGAAAACTACATTTGTGGATCTAGGAGATATGACATTAGAATGCATGACCCGTTGGACTCTATTGAGGAGCTCCACCGCCTCTGGTGCTAGAAAACCAAATGTATCGAATGCAAAAGGTACAAACACATGTTGATTTTCTATACATGCATTCTCGTGCTTTACCACTTTGCACGCAGCGGCTTTCAAAGCGGCATGTCCAGCTGTGAAACCCCCGCTCCCCTTACCAACGAGAGGAGAGACCCCAGTAAGATCCACGCACGCATGCTTCCCTCCTATCCATCCAAAGACCAAAATGTCAGCTGGTCTAAGTGTGGACCTTCCATCATGCGGGTCCGTCAAAAAGTTCACCGGCGCTTCTTTCTTCACAGAAATACCAGCACGCCGACAAGCATCAAAGAGAACATCCCGAACCACATCATGTCTGTACTTGAAACCAGGGAGCTCTCTACAATGAACCGTGTGTTCCCCAAAGGTATCTAAACATGCCTTGCGGCAAACTGGGCATATCTCGTCAATTGGGAATATGGGAATCATGAGGCGGTAACGAAGGATAGTTCGGTACTCCACAGGAGACATATGCTGGCCAAGACCATCAATATGGATAGTTAGCAGAAAATCCTGAGCATGAGGTGCCCGCAGACACTCAAAGACTACTTTCTGTCTGACAGTCATGTCGAAGTCGACTTCCATATCTTGGACGATATTGCTAAAAAGGGCACACACCAAAACTTTTTGGGATTTAGGGGGGGCGGTGTCCTTATTAGTGAGACCGCTACAGTCAAATTTCGGAATCGTATCGCGAAGACGAGTCATAGCACATAGGTAATCCGAGTCCATACCACATACGCCACTGTCACGTAAGATGTGGTCTTGTAATGCCCAAGATTGGGCCCTCGAGGCTACAAATGCGTAGGAGGAAACCTCGTATGCCGAGTACAAACCCAAACCACCAAAACGAATAGGTAAGGAAGCCAGGCGCCACTGAATGTCTCCAAAGAAGGGGCCTCCACATACCACCATATCCTCGATAGACCTGCGCAATCCTTTGTCAAAGAACAAAGCTGCCTCTTCTATGTGTACCGGCTGGCATGTCCTTAAACCAAAGAAAAGTTTTGCAATGCCCATACATGATCGAAGCAAAAGGAGCTCACTTTGCGGGTCACATAGTTGTGGAAGAAGGCCCATCAAATCAACAGCATTGACCGCTCTCTTCATGGCCAGCCCGCTAATAAACCCTGCGTCTTTGCTAACAGCCCCCCCAAGGAGCTTCACCCCCAAAGAAGGTCTCCCTATATCCGTTGGGAATAAATCGGCACGAAGCTTCCTACCATCACAGGAGGGCCAAAAAATCTCCGTTTTCTTGATGTTCAACTCAAGACCCAAACCTGGACCATGCAACCGAATAATGTTCAACACTCTAGCCACCTCCTCTGAATCCCCAATGGCAGTCCCATCATCTAGATACCAAGCATGGAGAAGGAGTTTACAATTGTCTATAATCTTGTGCACAAGCGGGTGCAAAACGAGGGCAAAAAGAAGAGGGCCCAAGGGGTCACCTTGCTGCACCCCAGTGGCAGACCATATATGTTGGTCTCCGATATAAAGTCTCGCTGCTTGCCCGTACAAGAAATTCACCCACAAAGAAATGGAAGGACACATCTTCTTAACCTCGTGGAGCAATGCTGATCGATCTACCAGGTTAAAGGCATTCGAGAAATCCATAGTCAGCATTACAAGAGACCCATCAGCATGGTGTTCACTCAACACCTTATTGACACTATGTAACACAGCCTCGGCACCGCCGGATACACCAACCCCGAACTGAAAATCATTAAGGTATTTGACCATTTCTTTACCCACACCTTTCATGGCAACCTTGAAAACCAGACGTCTCCATATAGTGCCTACTGCAATCGGACGGATCCATAATAAAGTAATAAACTGAATCAATTGATTTAGAACTGAATTGGAAATCGATTTTCAGTTAAACTGATTATTCCATTTATAATGTAAAAATTACAATATCATATTTTCAGTTAAAAGAACCCCAATACCTACAAACTCACATCCAAACAGCCCTCTGTTTTATTTTGCTTTCGTACGGGAACAAAAGAAGCAGCTAATGGCCGTCGTCAAACCAAACCTCCGCCGTCTCTCCGGCCTGGCCTCGATCAACCGCTATTGTTCCTCCACCTCAGCCATCGCCTCCGCCTCCCATTCCGACACAGACACTGACACCAATATAGTCGTCACCACCACGACCAAAACCACTCAGAAACTATCTCACTCGGAAACCCTAATATCAGAAAAACTCCACTCTATAATCAAAAACCACCACCGTCAAAACCCCAACCCTATCCCCATCCCCACCGATTTTCCTCCCAACTTCACCATCCCTTCGCTCTCCTCCGACTTCTCGAATCTCTCCCGCCAACAGCCCATCTCACCCGCCGTAATCCGCTCCGTAATCGAAAAATGCGCCGCCGTCCGCCATGGTATTCCTTTTACACCAACCCTAGCTTTCTTCAACTGGGCTACCAGCACAACAACCGGTTCCTCGGATACATACAACGAAATGATCGACCTCGCCGGAAAAGTCCGACATTTCGACGTAGCGTGGCAGGTAATCGAGATGATGAAACAAAGAAACGTGGAAATTTCGATTGATACCTTCTCGATTTTGATTCGTAGGTATGTTAGAGCTGGGTTAGCTGCTGAAGCGGTTCACGCATTTAATCGAATGGAGGATTATAACTGTAAGCCTGATCGGATTGCGTTCTCTGTTGTAATCAGTATTCTCTGCAAGAAACGAAGAGCTGAAGAAGCTCAATCCTTTTTCGATAGTCTAAAACACAAATTCGAACCAGATGTTGTCGTGTACACCAGTTTAGTCCATGGGTGGTGCAGAGCAGGTAAGATTTCAGACGCAGAAAGGGTATTCCGTGAGATGAAAACCTCCGGAATCAATCCGAATGTTTACACTTACACCATTGTAATCGATGCTCTGTGTAGAACTGGTCAGATAACTCGTGCACATGATGTGTTCGCTGAAATGCTTGACCAAGAAATCAAACCCAATGCTGTCACATACAATAACCTAATGCGTGTACATGTAAAATCCGGTAGAACAGAAAAGGTTCTACAAGTTTACAACCAAATGAAGCGCCTTTCTTGCACACCCGATTTAATCACTTACAATTTCTTGATCGAAACCCATTGTAAAGACGAAAACCGTGATGAAGCAATCAAGATTTTGAACTTGATGATCAAGAACGGGTGTGAACCAAATGCGAGCAGTTTCAACCCAATTTTTAGGGAAATCATGAAAGCCCGTGATGTGAATGGTGCTCATAGATTGTTTGGGAGGATGAAAGGGTTGAAATGTAGACCGAATACTGTGACTTATAATTTGTTGATGAGGATGTTTGCGGATTCGAAATCGGCTGATATGGTGTTGAAGATGAAGGAGGAGATGGATGAGAATGGTGTTGAGCTTAATGTGAATAGTTATAGGATTTTGATTGGGTTGTATTGTGTGATGGGGCATTGGAATAATGCTTATAAGTTTTTTAGAGAGATGATTGAAGAAAAGTGTTTGAAGCCAAGTAATGGTGATTATGAAATGGTGTTGGGGCAGCTTAGGAAAGCCGGGCAGATCAAGAAACATGAAGAGTTGGTGGAGAAGATGGTGGATAGGGGGTTTGTTGTTCGACCATTGTAGGAGGCATTGCATACAACCAAAATTGTGTTTTTTTTGTTCTTATTTGTAGGATTTTGATGCATACATTTAATTAAAGTTAGGGTTTCATTGCTTGATTGTTGTAGTATGTATGCGTAAATGCATACAACGTACCCCAATCGTTTTTTCCAAGTTGTTTTATTAAACTAAACGGTTGTGAACACAGTGTATTGTTAGTTAGTTGTTTGTTTTTTAGTTGACATAACTTATTCTGAGTGTTTTTGCAAAATTGCTCTTGTATATACTCTTGATTTTCTCAAATAAATCAAAAAAACATCTTTCCTAATAAATAAAAATAATTTTGTCACGTGTCATTCTCTCATATATTATGTAACTAGGTGTGAGACTCATGTATTATATGAGTTTATTTAAAAGAAAATATAAATACAAAATTCTAAATATTTGAGAAGTTTGAATTTATAAGAAAAGTGAGAAAATATTGAATTATAAAAACGAAAGTGTTTTTTTTCTCATTTAAATTTAAACAAATAATTTAGATAAATAAATAAAGAAAATTAATGAATCTTTAATTTAGTAATTTTGAAATTAGAAGGAAAGTTTATTAATGAAATTGATATGCATTTATTATTGCATTTAAATACTATTTGAAATTTAATAAAATGAAAAAAACTATAAAATGACATGTGAAATAAAAAAATAATTAAAGAAAACCACAAAATTACATGTGCCAAAATAAATGAGAATGTGACATGTGGCAAAAAAAAACTTTATTTAGTAGGGAGGATTAGTTTATAACCTTTGGGAACTATGTTTATAAAATTAATTAAACTTTTATAGTAAAAACTCAAAATTATTAATCAATTATTTTAAATAAACTTTTTAGATAAATTATTAACTAAAAGATATTTTCTAAGTTATATTAAATTATAATCGTTGATTTAAATAAATACATGACCTTATAACCTTATAATCTGTATTAATTTTATTTTAGTTTTTATTATAATGTTATTAATTTAATGTAATTAAAGTGAGAAATTTGAAATGGAAAATCAATAGTTTGACAAGTGGCATGACATTAATTAGGAGGGAAAATACCGGCTATAGACATTTTTCGGGTTAAATTCCAAAATATATACATAAAAAATTTGTAACATCCCAAAAATCAACACCAAAAATTTCATTTTTCAAATCATTCATCAAGCCATAATTATCAATCATAAAACATAAGTAGTTATATCAAATCAGAGTATCATTTCAAAACATGTTCATTTTATCAGAGTAAACATCCCAGGCTAAAACTTCTTGGTGTGTGCGATGCAGTCAACCCGAGCTTTTCCCTCCGCTACCGGAAGTACCTGAAACCAAAGCTGAAAACCGTAAGCACGAAGCTTAGTGAGTTCCCCAACCTACCACATACCATACACATAACCACATATTGGGCCCCCGCCCGCTGCATCGGGACTTGCCCGGCATCAGACTTGCTCCGGCATCGGGCCCCGCCCGACATCAGGCCCCGCATGGCATCGAGCCCCGCTCGGTATACAGATATGTCTCTCTTAGGCCCCGCCTGTCTCTGGGCCTCGCCCGCTATACACATACAAACATATAACATACTAGCACATACAGAAACAATGAAACATACTCTACTGTACTTCTGTTCGAAGGCCTCGCCTAACTTGGGCCCCACCCCTGGTCTACTACTGATGAGCTATGGAACCTCGTCCACACTCCTGCTGTCAGTGAGATACGGGCCCCCGCCCACACTCACTACTCTCGGGCCTCGCCCATACTCTGCTAATATTGAGATATGGATACCCATCCATACTCAGCTAGTGATGAGATACGGGACCTCGCCTACACTCACCTCACTACCAGGCACATACAAGTATCACAAAGACAACAGGTATAATCTAACATGCACATATAAATCTTCCTCGGGCTTGCCCCGACATCGGACCCTAGTCCGGAACATACTACCATATAAACACACTTCGGGCTTGCCCCGGCATCGGACCTTGGTTTGGAACCTACCGTACCGACACATGCAAGAATCACAAAGACCTCTAGCATACTAACATTCCTCGGGCCTTGCCCGACATCGGATCGTAATCCGGAACATATAACATATAGTGCCTAGGGCTAACCCCCGGGTCTTCCTACTATACAAACATAATGGGTTGGCATTATGGCCTTAGACCCATGCACACAGTGAGGAGACTCACCTTGCACTGCTGAAGACCTGCTGATACCCTTCTGGCTGCTATCTGACAATCCCCGAACTGCTGTTCCGTCGGCTCCCCGAGCTACCAATACCCAAAATATCACTTAGTCCAAATCAATAATCCTTCTTAGGGTAAAATGACCATTTTACCCCTAGTCCAACTTGGTCCATATCTAAGGCCCAAACCATGATCTACAAAGGCCTAACACTAGATAGGCTTCCGAAGCCCACTAGTGGCCCACTAATGGCCTAATTTGCTAAATTGGGCACAATCCCTCTAATGGGCCTTACCTAAGCCCAAACATCTTCTTGGCCCACATTATCTGACTTCTGAAGGTCTACTAAGGCCCAAAGAACCAAAATCCCTTGCATGGCCCAAACCGAGGCCCAAAACAGCCAAACCTATATCCGATTAGTACGTTGGGCGTACTCCTATGTACGCTAAGCGTACAAGCTAAATGGTGCGTACGTTGGGCGTACCTGCATGTACGCTCAGCGTACTCCCCTATTAAGTCACCTTCCCATTAAGTGCTTAATACTCTACTCCAGAAGCTACAAACGCAGATCCAAGTCCTTTTCAACGTCTTAAACCATAAAGTCCCTCACTTGGTGGCTTGCAACCCACCAATAGAGCCCAAACTTGAAATGTGATAACTAACTTCCATGGAAATGGTCTTAACTCATGCATGAACCCATTAGGACATCCAAGATGGCAACTTTCTGCCTTAGGGACTCATTTAGAACTGAGAGTAGCAACTCCAAGTCCTAGAAATCGGAGTGGACCACAAAGCTTCAACCTTTGGATCAAAATGGTCCAAAAACTCATCTAAGAGATCTAATGAGATAATCACCAAGTTTATATCTTTATACCTTGAAATGGTTAGAAATGGAACCACAATCTTGGATCTACTGCTTCCTCTTTGATCCACCACCTTGCTATATTCTTCACTTGCTTGAAAAATGGCTTCACAACAACAAAATGCTCTCTAATGGCCTCCAAAGCTCCAAGAACACTCAAGGGAGGATTAGGGTTTCGTGGTGGCTGACTAAAGATGAGAAGGAGGCTGGTCCTTAAGGATATAATGTTCTTTATATAGTGACATACCCTAAAAATTAGGGTTTGGGGACTCTGAGCCTAATCTGGGCGTACTCCTCGTACGTTGGGTGTACGACTCTCCGCACCCGCGACCATAAATCCTTATACGCTGGGCGTAACCCAGCTTACGCTGGGTGTACCCAGCTAAACACACGCATGCATTCCTTGCATGCATGGGCTGACTTGTCACAAAACTCCATTAGGGGCTAAAATTGACAATAACTTCAAAATTCCATAACTCCTTCATTTGAAGTCCGTTTCCGACGAACTTGATATCCATGAAAAGGTGGCGGGAAGCCCTACGCTCCTAGCCACACCCCCAAGCCTAAAACCTTTCGGATAAAACCCGAGACCCCATAAAAGACCAAATCGCTTATACCCTGGGCCTCCGAAACCACAACCGAAGTACTTATCAAAACGGTGTGTTACAAAATTGAATTTCCGGGTATAGACATGGATTCCATGGAGGTAGCTCCGCGGAATCCACTGTAGTTCCGTGAAATGGCAAAATCGTAAATAAATGAGGGAATTAAAAAAAACTCAAGATCTATTCAGCGGAGCTACCTCCGAGGAATGAACTCATTCCGCGGAGGTAGCTCCGAGGAATGGATCTTCAGAATTTTTTTTTCAGATTGATTCTTCGGGGGTTTATATTCATTCTCCGACTAATTATTTTCAAGAAAAGATTATGATAGTATGAATTTTTCTTGACAATGTTTGGAATGAATGTGGGGTGGAAAAAAATTGGTCTTTTAATTGAAAAATCTTTACATAAAAGAATCATTGGAGGTGAATTTTTTTTCTGAATATCCATTCCTCAGAGGTAGCTCCACGGAATGGATCTTGAGTTTTTTTTTTTTAATTCCCTCATTTATTTACGATTTTGCCATTCCGTGGAGCTACAGTGGATTCCGCGGAGCTACCTTCGCGGAATCCATGTCTATACCCGAAAAATTCAATTTTTTATGTCTATATTTTGGAATTCAACCCCAAATAATGTCTATACCCGATATTTTCCCTAATTAGGAGGCCTAATTGTAACGCCCCATTTATTCAAATAAATAAATTAATAAATTAAAAGTGTGAATTCGGACTTAATTTGTAAGTATTATTAAAGGAAGGGCTAAATGGTAAATTCTGGACTCAAATTGTAAAGATTTTTGGAGGCAAGGACTGCTTGGTAATTATTTGGATTTAAATTGTAAAGATTTTGAAGTAATGGGGGATAATAGGTAAGTTTCGGATTTAATTGGAAATGAATTTGGTGAGGAGGGGAGGAAGTTGGATTTTTGGATGGACACGGGTTTAGACCCGGTACCATCCTTCCCTCTCGTCACCCTCTTGAGCAGTGACCATATTTAAGCGATGCAAACCCAAGCCAAACCCTAACCCTAAATGATACTCTCCAGCCGCCACCCCCCCTTTAGCCGCCGCCGTTCTCCTTGCCGGCGATGTCAAGGATTATGAGACCGAGCTAACTGCCACCTTTTCACTTACTGAGTCGTCATCGCAACATCACCATTGCTATCATGCTATCGGACATCGTGGGTCGCAGGAAGAGCCACCGAATCCGGTGGCTGTAGCCGTGTTCGTTGCTCCAATGACACCGAAACGCCACCAGCCGACGTTGGGGAGGCTGTTGCCTCTACCATTCTCCGGTAATGACGAGTTCTTCTTCTCTCTCTCGTTCTTCTATCGTCCCAT